CTTAGAGTACAAAGTACATACACATACTGTAGCTTCCTTAGAGGATTCAGACCATTTAAGAAGTTAATTTGATGAAAGACTAGTTCCTATCTGCATACCTCCTTATACTGAGCTTTAGTGACAAAGCTAGTGACTAGTTTTCCTTTGTGTTTTAAAAAATCACTTTACACACAGACTTAAATCTCACCACCTAATATGTGAACTTATAGAAGCTACTCTACTGTGCCACTTACATTATATAGAACATGAGTTTATGATCTTTAAAATTCATATTCTTCACTATTTTCCTTTTCCTCTGATATAAACCAAAAACAGTACAGCTCAATTTTCTTTAAACATAGCCACATAACAATAATTTTTTCATTTTTCTTCCCCTCCACCCAAAATACAGATTCCAGGTTAGTTTCTATGTAAATAATCTGTAATCTATAGGAATTCAAAAGGTCAGTCCTCTTAGTCAAATTAACATGGCTAAAGAATCTTACCCCTCCCCTGAATGGACAGGAAGCAGTAATTTCATCACAGGTTTTTACAGCCCACTGAGGTCCAAAGAACTAGTGTGTAAATTAGTATTATTTGTGTGGAATCTACAGAAAAAATCTGGAATAGACTTTTGGTTGTTAAGCCTAGAATACAAATTTCTGTGTCTTGTACTGACTTGAATAAGTTTGGACATATATTTATCTGCCAAAACAATGACAAGTTTTGTTTTGTTAACAGCAATGTCACTTCTCATTTTCTTTGATTGACTTGCCTTTTTACTGGTTGTGAATTTCTGTCTAAAGATGTATTATGTAAAAGAACTACAAGGAAAAAACAAATGTACAGATTGTAAAGTTTTTTATATCTATTGTAAGTTTTCTTTGTGTAATATTTATATGATAAAAGACATTAGGATCCCTATAGCATAGATGTCTTGTATTTCTTCTAGTTCATGAATATGTAGACGGGCTTCACTTGAATTTTTATTATAATCCACAGCTGAGACTACTCACCTATTGTATTAACCAAACAGTTCTGGAAGAAAAAGCAAAGCAACTAACTAGTTAGTAAAATTTTTTCTAAATCTTTTTCTAACACAAAGAAGAAACAGTACAGAAATATTCAACCTTTTCCCATCGTACTGCATTATGACTTACAGTGATCCCTAAATATTAAGTCTATGAGGACACAGATCTGAGACTGTCATTTCTCTGTGGCTTTGGTCTTTAATTCCACAGTTCTATCCAAGAAAACTGGCAAGTAGAGAAACTTTGAAGCTGTGGGTGAAATTGGTAGAGAATGATGGTTCAAACTAGTATACAGACCACCCAGAGCAATTCATTTGTGTTCATGATTAGTGACTAGAGACCCAGTGCACAAATTCATGCATGGGTGGGGTCCCTCGGCCTGGCGATCGAGGCCTATCAGGAGGGCTGGCTGGCCAGGCGGAGGGGCTGTGGGAGGTTGGCAGGCTGTGGGGAGGGGCCATGGGAGGTTGGCTGACTGCCCCCCCCTACAGGATCCGATGGGGGGGGGAGGGATGGCTGGGAGGGAGGGGCCAAGGGAGGTTGGCCAGCTGGGGGATGGGGAGGAAGGGGCCATAGGAGGTTGGCTGTGAGAGTGCACTGACTACTAGGGGGCAGTTCCTGCATTGAGCATCTGCCCCCTGGTAGTCAGTGCATGTCATAGAGACTGGTCGACCAGTTGTCCGGTCGTTCGGTTGTAATGGTTGTTTAGGCTTTTATATATATATAGATATATATAGATGAGAGAGAGCTGTGATTTCCCTAATCCCCAGCCAACTTCTGTGTAACCAGACCAACGAAGAAGGAAGAAAAATTCCAATCACTGAAATCCCACTACAGAATGCATTCTGATACACTTGGATGTGGGTGTAGTCATCATTTTGGCAATTTTCATTACATTGTATACAAAATAATGAAGTCACTCTGACTAAACCTAAGGAAGAGATTAAATTTCCTCTCCTCCAGCCCCAATTCCCATCCCAAATCTCTATCTTGTGCTCCTTACACAATATAGATACTATCATTGCTTAGAACATTCTCTGGTCACAGATCTTTTATGGATTTTCAAACCTTCTTTTGATACAAATACAGGCAACTAAATGTTTTTGGTTTAAAATGTTTTGCGGTTTTTTTTTGTTTAGTGAGTGAGGTTTCCCTGATCTGCAGAACACAAGGGAATAGGTTCAAAGAAAACACATGACCCCCTCTTTTGCTGAGAACTGATGTTAATGTGTGGTGGCTATGTATGGACAGGACTTATGTTATTTATACTAATACAGTCCAAATGTGAGGGGAGTTACCTTCTTTAACCCAGAAACTCCCAGTAATGACATATCTATAGATGCTATTAGATACCAAAGGCTAGACCAATGCAAGAAAAATTAAAAAGGGGAGGGAAAACCAGGTAATATGAAAATGAGAACCAGGCAAAAAGAAAATGAAGCAGCACACAAAACAGGTATTGAACTTTAGGAAGCAGTTAAGTACCATTCATCATACTATACATTTGTATTACACTCAATTTACAAAACATTTTCACATTATGGCCTTTCAATAAGACCCTAGCTGGCCTTATTGCTATTTTATTTTATTATTTTTTAAAATATATTTTTATTGATTCAGAGAGACAGGGAGAGGGAGAGCTAGAAATATCAATGATGAGAGAGAATCATTCCTCAGCTGCCTCCTGCATGCCCCACACTGGGACTACAACCCGCAATCTGGGCACATGCCCTGACCAGAAATCAAACCATAACCTCCTAGTTCATCAGTCGATGCTCAACCACTGAACCACGCCAGCTGGGCACCTTAGTACTATTTTAGATACTGCTTAGCACACTCTTCTACAAATGAAATTTTTACTGAACAAAGATTATCATTAAAATCTTAGTTCAGAAGAAAGAATAAGATATTTGAGTCTAGACCACTCAGCTTTTATTCACATGAAGTTTATAGGAATGTGTAAATGTGTTGCTCCAGCTCTGACATGATTGCAGGAGCAAGGGCTAAACCTGTATAAAATTTACAGTGAGTCCTGTGGATAATCCAACAGCACTCCTATGAAGGTACAAAGAAATCTTACAGAAATTGATGAACTACTGTTTCTGTCATTATTTATAAACCTTTAGTGATAATAATTGAAGGTAGTTATAAGCCCCTTCTACGTCAGCAACTAAAGCTTCCAAAAAGATATAAAGCAGAAATGTTAAAGTTTTAAATGAACGTTTTAACTAGACACTCTCTTGAAATACTTTACTCCAGTGGTCTCTGCTTATATATTTTTAAAAATTATTTTTCAGAGTTCATAGCTACTGATAAAAATGTTTTCTTAATTATGAAAAACATTCTTGTCCAACAATCACAAACAAAATTAAGTCTTCTCATTAAATATAAGCACATTAAAAAATAATCTAAGTTTACAAATAATCAAAAACATTTGTTTTCCTATACTTAACAAATTTCTTTGAAGGGTTATCTTGAAAAACACATGGCCAAGACTACACACAATGTTTACTTTTAAAGTTTTAACATTATTTTAGGTTTCACCACAGGGTTTACTATAAAACAAAATAAAACAACAAGAACTGCCAAATACCAATATCCACTGGTACTCAGCATTCTATCTACTGAGGTGGTTAGAGCATAGAAAGTTGTTAAGCACAGGTGTTGAACAGCTTACATCCGGATACAGGCTTTACAGTGGGAATTTAAAAAATCTGTACGGCTATCACTTTCTCTCTCTTTCTACATTAAGAGAAAAATACATAACTTGGCCCACCTCTTAAACCATTCACAATAAGCTCACTATAAATTCCCAACAAATTTCACTTGTACTTAGGTCTATATGAAATAACCTGGGTAGAGCTCAAGCATATCATACATTCCTCATCTGACAAATGAGGACATACCAATCCTTGAGATCTTTGATCATTTTAGCCCATAGCACCCCTCAGCTAGCGCCATAATTCAAATTCACAGCTCCTGGTCACCAAGCCTTTGACGGCTCCAACCACATATAATGCTTCTCTAACACTGTATTTTCCAAATCTAACTGTGAATCAGAACTACGAAGGGATGCCTTGGCCTACCTCTGATTTATTAAAACTGGAAAGTACTGTTCTAATCCTATGTAATAGAGTTCAGCCTGCCATTTAACATTCTAATATCTAAAATGATGGCCCAAAGGATGAAGAAACAATTTATAAGAATTCTTTTTTACACCATCATGTAAAACTGGTTCATGTCTTTGTCCCTTTAGAGTAATTCTGACCTCAATCAAACTTTGCTTTGTCAAACAAAATCACAAATTTCAAATCCAGTTGGAAAATAAATCAAATATGCACACCAAAAAGTAGACTCAGGCTTCAATTAGTGGAATTTTAACAGAAACCTGGGCAGAGGAATC